TTACCGTTTGTTAATTCAACGTGATAATTCCATGTTCTGCTTTAATTCATCATAATTTATAACAAGCCTTTTCATTTACATAAAATGAGCTCTTGATAATGTTGCAAGGTATTTATTCTAAGATAGAATGGATCTTTTACAGTATTACCGCCAATCCTTACAAAAGTGTAATAGTGTAATTACTGTAATACTTCCAAAAAAACTGGGTAATATTTTACCCAGATCAGTAACATGCAAATTGCATTTTAAACCAACATTAAACTGTGTTTTGTTTTCATACTATCAGCAGAAGACAAAAACTCAGCAGCAATAGTAGCACAGTTTATGACATTTTCCAGATGGACAGACTCTCATTATTTTGAGTTTGTTGGAGACAAAGTTGTGAGGAACATAACAGTTCAGTGCACTTTATGTGCGAAACCAAAAACTTTATCAAACTCACGCAATATCATGAGAAGCTACATTTAGTATGTACTGTATATTTAACACTTGTGCTACCCTTGGGTCCAAATGACCCGCCACAGATGATTAAAAGTAGAAGAGAAATATCATACAATAAATCTCAATATAAAATGGTAAAAAGTAATTTAATCCGGAGATGTAAAACATAAATGAACAAAACTATTGTAAAGTCCTCCAAGACAACTACGTTTGAGAAATAGGGCTATAGAAAAATAAATCACATTAAAATTGATTTGAATAGACACTTTTGCATAATAGTGTCCTTTAAGTCCAACCTGCATCATTCCCCCTGGACTTGACATTATTATCAGCTCCCATCATTATCATCTCTTTGGAGTCGGGACTGACCTAATCCGCATTCCCCCGTCGGCCAATCAGAACGAAGCCCCGCTGAGTCGCCGCCATGCTTGCATATTCCTGTGTGTCCCTGGAGAAGTAGCTCAAGTCACCTCCATAAATAATTTGTTTATAGTCGCCTGCGCTCATCCCGCTGTTTGTTGACTCTTATTGTGGGATAGAGGCTCGTCCCCCGCAGACAAAAGCAATTTAAGAGGACAATTAATTTATTACGCCTGCTACTAAAATTGACCTCACACTCATTTAGAATATCATCAACCTGCAGGACGAGGGCGTGGGGAGTGGGACTAAAGGCAACGACTGAAGGAAACAAACCGGACAGAGGAACTTATTTGTAAGAAACCATTGACTGGATTTCAATGGACAATGCTGAACTGCGAGCTCAATACCTTTCAACCTGGAGAGACTACAAGAGACGAGATGCGTTTAAGAGTTGTTTATTTTATGGATTGAGTTTGTTTATTGGTTTGGAGCTTAGGCCCCGGCTGTGGCCGTGCTCTGGAGAGATCTGCGCCTGGGTGCAGATCATGATCCCCAAAAAGAGAGCTTGGCTAGCGATGCGTTTGCCATGACTTGGTTGCTGCGTTTATGGAAGGTGCATGGTGTGAGTGACTGTTTCCGTGCGCGAGCTCGGCTCTAGCGCTAGGCGTTGGCACGCGCTCGGCTCAAGTGCGCGGCGTAATGTCCGTGCGCGAGCTTGGCTCTAGCGCTAGGCGTTGGCACGCGCACGAGCTCGGCTCAAGTGCGCGGCGTAATGTCCGGCGCGAGCTTGGCTCTAGCGCTAGGCGTTGGCACGCGCACGAGCTCGGCTCAAGTGCGCGGCGTAATGTCCGTGCGCGAGCTCGGCTCTAGCGCTAGGCGTTGGCACGCGCTCGGCTCAAGTGCGCGGCGTAATGTCTGTGCGCGAGCTCGGCTCTAGCGCTAGGCGTTGGCACGCGCACGAGCTCGGCTCGAGTGCGCGGCATGCTGGAAATGAGGAGTTGCCACCACCAGGAGATGCATACGTACTTATATGGGAGAAGGCGCTGGGCTGCCAGAACGGATGAATGTGGTAGAGAACCGGGGACCGAGCTCCTGGAGAGATGATTGAGGGAGTCCCAGGGCAGCAGTCCAAGTGGCTGCTCCTATCCGGAAGGAGTGGCGGGTGTAGAGAAAGGAAGAGAGGTTACATGCAGGGAGCAGAGGTTTTGAATTTGTTCAGACCAGGGGGTCGTCGAGGGATTGTTTAAGGAGTAATTATAGTCTATGAATGTTGATAAAATGTCCATAGATGTTGTAGAATGTTAAAGTATCCTGGATCATCACCACGGGCCTTCTAGTTGGACACTAACTGTCCAGACCCTCCTGCATGGCAAGGAAAACTCACAAAACCCCGTGGGGAAAAAAGTGAGAAACCTTTGGAAGACCCTACATTGAGAGAGGGAATCCACTCCACGGACAGATAGGCTAGTCGTCCAGGACCTAAACTACAGAACAAGGACCATTGCCAATACTCCTTTAAGGATCTTCTTATGAGGGTGGAGCAGTGTGACTCGAAGTGGATTTTAGAGAATGTATTTAATGCCGATGTAGATGAGGCAGTGACGGCAGTACCCGCGATGCTGATGTCCAGAGACTGAGAGTGTGCAGTGAGAGGGAAAGGAGAATGCTGAATGAAGGATGAACTGCTGGTGTTTAGAGCGCTGATATTCGAACATGATTCCACTTGGGGAGACTAGAAGGTGAAAATGAGATTCATGAAGTACACTTACCCAGGAAGATTGATGTTCGATAGGAGATCCCTGGACCCCCAAAAACCAACGCACAAGGGCCCGGTCAGAATGAGGGCCAGGGTGCGTCAGGTAAGGCGAAGCGTGAGACAAGCCCGGCGGCAGGAGCCGCACCAGGAGAGAATATGCCTGGGGAACATGAGAAGGAGCACCGCCTACAGCCACTCAGTGCACGCAAACCGTGGCGGGCAGTGCTGCACACCAAAAGCCAATGAGTGCGGCCTGGGGAAGATAGCCGGCCAGGTTTGAAGGCCACGCCGAACAGTACTCATGCAGTCTTAGCAGGCCAGCGTTGCAGCAGGCCACCATCGCGGCGTTGTAGCAGAGCTTTGGTGCGGCGTTGCGGCATCGCGTTCCTGCGAAGCTGAAAAGAGAAACCTCGAACCACTATCACTCGAGTGAAAAGGACCAACGGGCAGTGTCAGACCACGTCTCCAGTCAGACCACGTCTCCAGTCAGACCACCGACCTGATCCGTCGATGCCGGCTCTTCCCGTCATTGTGAAGCAGAACTCTCCAAGCGTTGGATTGTTCACCCCCCAATAGGGAACGCGAGTCCATGGTCGACACTGGTCCCACGATGAATGGATGAGAGCACACGAATGCGTCGAATGCGCCCGCCGACGAGCTGCAATGAAGCGTGCGCCCGCCGACGAGCTGCAATGAAGCGTGCGGCCGCGGACGTGCGCCGTCGTTGAAGCGCGCGGCGTCAAAGCGTGCGCCGTCGTTGAGGCGTGCGGCGTCGTTGAGGCGTGCGGCGTCGTTGAGGCGTGCGGCGTCGTTGAGGCGTGCGGCGTTGTTGAGGCGTGCGGCGTCGTTGAGGCGTGCGGCGTCAAAGCGCGCGGCGTCGTTGAGGCGTGCGGCGTTGTTGAGGCGTGCGGCGTTGTTGAGGCGTGCGGCGTCAAAGCGTGCGCCGTCAAAGCGTGCGCCGTCAAAGCGTGCGCCGTCAAAGCGTGCGGCGTGGAGGAGGAGTCAAAGCGTGCGGCGTCAAAGCGTGCGGCGTGGAGGAGGAGTTGAAGCGTGCGGCGTCAAAGCGTGCGGCGTCAAAGCGTGCGGCGTCAAAGCGTGCGGCGTCAAAGCTTGCGGCGTCAAAGCTTGCGGCGTCAAAGCTTGCGGCGTCAAAGCTTGCTGCGTCAAAGCTTGCGGCGTCAAAGCTTGCGGCGTGGAGGAGGAGTCAAAGCGTGCGGCGTCAAAGCGTGCGGCGTCAAAGCGTGCGGCGTGGAGGAGGAGTCAAAGCGTGCGGCGTCAAAGCGTGCGGCGTCAAAGCGTGCGGCGTGGAGGAGGAGTCGAAGCGTGGCGTCGTCGAAGCGTGGCGTCGTCGAAGCGTGCGGCCACCGACGTGGCGTTGAAGTGCGGCGTTGAAGTGGCGTAAGGCCAGAGCACTGGGCAAATGAACAGCACAGAGGGGCTCGGCCGCGCTCCGACCAATCAGATCAATGCAGTGGACAAAACTTACAGTCCACGGTCAATTTAGACAGAGCGAAGGCCAATGCAGACGACAAATGTTATAGTCCATGGTTACAACTGACAGCCTGAAGGTCAATGCAGTGGGTAACATTTTCAGTCCATAGTAAAACGGACAGCCTGGAGGCAAGCCCCGGCGATCCAAGATGGCGCCCTATTCAAATGAATGGTTGTGCTCAGTGGCGCTTTGTGACAGCATGGGGGCTGAAAGATTAGCGGAAGTTGCCTGAAACTCGCAAAGATCTATGGGAAACTCGCCTGTATTTGGGCATCGTCTGGTCCTCCCGGTTCTGTGCAGTGGATGATCTCCCATAATGCGTTGCGCCAAACACGCGTGTGTGGGTCTCACACCGGGTCTCACGCACGTGCACAGAGGGGCTCGGCCGCGCTCTGACCAATCAGAGCAGTTCATTAGAGCGGGAGTTAGAGCGAGAGCCAGAGGAGCAGAGTTTGTGGCACTGAAGTGTGGATTTAAACAAAACCGAAGGATTTAAGAAGAAAAAAAGTTCAGGATGACAAGGGACACTAAAATCCCCACAAAATCCGATCTTTATTAAAGCTGTAGGTTCTCTGTCAGCTGAGGTCGAGCTGTTTTAATATGCATTGAGTCCTATGGGGAAAATTTCTGGGTAGCCCACGTGAATTTAGTCTGGTTCAGTCTGCAGTACCACGAGAATCCCGAGCACGTGAGTTATTCAGCTACAAGCTAGTAATACCCTATCCAGTTAATATAATACATCCATGCCTGGAGGCCACTGCAGTGTGTCGAATGTTCAGCCCATGAGTAAAACGGACAGCCAAGAAGGCCAACAGTGGTTAAAATGTGCGGTCCATGGTGAAAAACGGACGGTCTAAATGCCAATGCAGATGGTAAAACGAACAGCCTGAAGAGCAATGCATCGGGTAAAAACACAGCCTGCGAGCCAATTCGGCGGGATTAACTGACACGCCGCAGTTCAGTACAGTTCATGGTAGTGCGGAAAACAACGAAACCGACACTGTACCGTGAGTGGAGGCAGGGAGAAGGGTGGACAGCGGCAGGCAGACAACGGCAGGCAGACAGAAGTCCCGTTCCCGGTATGGAAGCGGCAGGGTGCGCGGAGTAACGCCTGGCCGCAAGCAGCAGCGGCCACGGGGAGACGAGCGGCAGCGAGTCCGCAGGGGAGGACCCACGGTGAGCCGCGGTGGAGACACAGCGACCATGGCGCGCAGCCCCAAACATAACGCTTTCTTATTTTGTTCAGCACTTTGAGTTGCCTTGTGTATGAATTGTGCTATACAAATAAACTCGCCTTGCCTTTCTCAGGATGGGTCCAAGCGGGAGCATATATAATGAAAACAATAAAGGACCAAGGATTGACCCTTGAGGAACTCCAGAGGTCAGAGGGGCCAAAGAAGAGGCAAAATCTCCCAAAAATGTCTCTCGGTCAGATATGCAGAGCAGAACCGTGGATCCCTACACAGTGTTCCAGCCGCGAGAGGAGGATCTCATGGTCCACAGTGTTGAAAGCGGCCGTCAAGTCCAGCAGCACCAGAACAACGGAGTGACCAGCGTCAGTAGAAATTAGAATGTCATTAAAGACACGCAGGAGAGCTGATATCAGATAAATGTGAAAAAATGTGAAGTGCTTTGTGATCCTGGTCTGTGAAAGGCGCTCTACAAATACACTTGACTTACTTACTTCATGTGTGACCCGCCCTGCACTGTGTAAATACGCATGGCTATTTGTTTTGCCTCATTCAAAGCAATGCATTTTTCATTAGTTTTGTGCATAAAGCCCCATAAACGCACCGATGGTCTCACTCAAAACTGTCTCAGCCACTGCCCTGTTTCTGCGTTAGGTCAGTTAATACGCAGAAACGAAGTGCCTTGCCTTGCCTGTCCGCATGTACCAGAGAGAGGATGGCAGTCTTATCTGTAGGAACTCACGGGCAGTGGCTTTGGGCAGTGGCTTTGGGCAGTGCGCAGCGGTGCCACGACAGATCCCACCACAAAACTCTTCATATGCGGTGCACGTCATTCAAACGTTTGGATCCAGTTTCTTTGTGAAATCACAGACACTTCCCAAAAG